ATAAAGGCACACAGTGATTGCTGAGATAGGTGGCGAACCGTTGCGTTAGTCTGGGCTCCAGATCGGATTACACGTCATTTAAAAGACCTAACCTGAGTGATAACCCGGTGTTTCTGTGTTTCCCAAAGTGCCAGTGAAATGCCCAGGAACTTTTTAAACGCCAGGAGTTATGTATTTAATGCAAAGGGTAAGGGAGACATGGACAGCATTCATGTGAGTTGATGGATATTATTGCTCAGGACAAGACTCTTGAAAAAGTGAGGTAATTTAGTGGAAATTATTTGGGTCTATATGTAGTACATATGTAGTATTACATATATGCATAAAATATACATATATGAAATATATACCTCAATACGTAGTATATATATAAAGATTATAAAGAATGTATAAAGATATATAAATATATAAATATACATTTAATGTATTAATGTTATATTAATATAATATACATATATATACTTACATGTACAGTACATTTGTATTATATGTGTGTGTTGCGTTTATGCATATGTATATATATTTACATACACACACAAACATATATATACATATGCATATATATATATATATATATATATATATGGGGTTTTTTTTAGACAGGGTTTTGCTCTGCCACTCAGGCTAGAGTGCAGTGGCATGATCATTGCTCACTGCAGCCTTGACGCCCCCCCCCACCAGACGCAACCCATCCTCCCACCTCTCAGCCTCCCCAGTAGCTGGGACTACAAGCGCCCACCTCCATGCCCCGCTAATTTTTGTGCTTTTTGTAGAGATGGAATTTTACCATGTTGCCCAGGCTGATCTCAAACTCTGGTTCAAGTGATCCACCTGCCTGGGCCTCCCAAAGAGCTGGGACTACAGGCATGAGCTACTGTGCCTGGCCTTAAAATACACTGTATATCATATATATTTATACATGTAAAATACACTGTATATCATATATATTTATACATGTAAAATACACTGTATATCATACATATTTATACATGTAAAATACACTGTATATCATACATATTTATACATGTAAAATACACTGTATATCATATATATTTATACATGTAAAATACACTGTATATCATACATATTTATACATGTAAAGGCATATTTTATATATACTTACATATACAGTGTGTATGTCAGCAAGCATATATAAAGCATGCAAGTGACGCTCATGTGGAAGGCCACTGCTGGTGGCCAGCAGGGACAGCCCAAAGCACAAATGTCCACGTGCCCCCGTGTTCCTTGTCCACTGTGGATTGCTCAGAGCTGCCTGTTTTCTCTGCAGTTCCAGTACTCGGAGGAAGACTGTGCTTTCGAGGAGGAGATCCGCCCTGATGGCTACAATGTGTACCTATCCGAGAAGCACCGCCTCCCGGTCTCCCTGAGCAGCGCCAAACAGCGGCAGCTGTACAAGAAACGAGGCTTTCTTCCGCTGTCCCATTTCCTGCCCATGCTGCCCATAGCCCCAGAGGAACCTGAGGACCTCAGGGGCCACTTGGAATCTGACGTGTTCTCTTCACCCCTGGAGACTGACAGCATGGACCCATTTGGGCTTGTCACGGGACTGGAGGCGGTGAACAGTCCCAGCTTTGAGAAGTAACTCAGGCCAGGCCCGGGCCCCCTCACTGGTGCCAGGGGCTGTGGAACCGGCAGAGTGGGGGCCGTGCGTCTACAAGAACCGTCCTGAGTCCACGCTCTGTTTAGCTTTAGGAAGAAACATCTAGAAGGTGTACATATGCAGAGTTATCCATTGGCCGTGCCAGTTTCTAGCCGATAGCCTTGTCTGAGCATCACATTGGAAGCCTGACGCCTGCCCGGCTGCTGCCCGGGCCCCCATCCCACTCCCCCGAGGTTGCCGGACAAGCTGCTGTGCTTGAACACCCGCACTGATGGGGAGCTTATTTTTTTTTGGAAACATTCCAATGTTGAGCTGAAATTCTCTGATTTTTTCTCATCACTTCCCCAGGAGCAGCCAGGAGACATGCAGTGGTTTTAATTTCAGGAACAGGTGATCAGCTCTGTAAAACAGCAGGTAAATTTCACTCAACCCCATGTGGGAATTGATCTAGATCTCAACTTCCAGGGACTGTTTGCCGTTCCTGAACCCTCCAGGCCAGAAGTGACTGGAGCAGGCATGGCCCACCAGGCTTCTGGAGCAAGGCAAGCCCAGAGCCCCACTCCAGCCCTGGGACGTCTGAGAATTCCCCCTAAGATTGGGTCTGCCGTGGATAAACTTCCCTGGGCTACTCCTTAGTCTGCCCCAAGGCAGATAAGATCATTCTCCTACTTTCCTTCCTCTTTTTGAACACCATCATCCTGTACACAGCTGACTCTTGCCGGGCTCAGAGCTGGTTCCCCTAAGGTGGACAGTGGAGCTGCCACATTTACCTCCAGCTCAGAGGGACGGACAGTAAGGACAGCCAGTCCCAGCCATGGTGACATGGAGTTTCCAGGGAATGGGATCTGCCCAGCTCATGTGGATGTAAGGGGCCCTCTGGTATGGAACCCACAGGCCTGCACCCCTTCCTAAATCTCCCACACCTCACCTGGGGTCTCTCCCTCCTTTTGTGAGAGCTGTGGATGCTGCCCTGAGAATAACTGCTGTCCCAGGTGTCACTGCTTCCGCCTCCCGGCCCACCTGGCCCTCTACGGTCCTCACACGTCTCCCTGTGGACTGGGGCTTCCTAGGCCCCTGCTTTATATCAACCTGCACTTCTCATTCAAAAATCAGGAAAAGAAAAGCTTTGACGACCGCAAGTCTTGCCAGCGCCTTGCGGTGCGGAAGCGGCGGGGAAAGACTTCCACCCTTTTCCCCAGCACTTAGCTTTCCGACATGCTATTTATGAGTAATTTATTTTGATATGTACATCTCTTATTTTCTTACATTATTTATGCCCCCAAATTATATTTATGTATGTAAGTGAGGTTTGTTTTCTACATTAAGACAGAGTTTGTTTATATCAAAAGTTGCATTCTGTTATCCGCCTGGAATGTTGGGGAGGGCGCGGAAGGCGCTGGTGGGGACAGTGCGGTCCACAGGAGGAAGCCCTTGATGTGTTTGCCCCTTGACACCAAAAGCTCGGGTGAGAAGTTCACCAGGTTTGGGCTAGCCAGCACTAGTGGTAGAGGCTGGTTCAGGCCCTGCTGTCCTGCCCTGTCCTCGTGCCTAGGGGCTTGGCTTCCTCCGGCCACCTTCCCTTTAGCAATCTCGGTGGTTAGGGCGGCCTCTCCGCCAGGAGTGTTTTAGGCTGCAGGAAACAAACACTAAGGAACACAAAACTCAGTCCAGGCCTCTCGCCCTCGGCCCTCTTCACTGGGGGGGAAGGTGCTCCTGCAGCCCCCACCACTAGATGCCCGTAGCAACCCCCAAGTTGCGAGGACCAAAATATCTCCAGAAGTTGTTGCACGTTCTTGGGGGGCAAAATCACCCTTGACGGAGGACCACTGGCCTGAGCAGATAGGATGGTTTTTATCCAGCAACAAATCCAAAGGGACCCAATGGCCCAGCGATGCCTGGGCTGTGCCCTCTGAGCTTCCCTTGGTATCTCTGTCGTGCTGTGGCCTGGTCTCCGCAGGGCTGCTGTGGCTTCAGCTGAGCGCTCTATACTCAGGGAGAGGGAATCTTTTCGCCTGGGCCTCTCTCACCAAGAAAGCCAAAACTTCTTTAGAACCTTTCAGCAAATTCTGGTTACATCCTAAGAACCAGGCTTGCATCACAGGGCCAGGCCAGCCCCAGCTGCAAGGCAGGCTGGGAAGGCAAGAATTAGCGGTCAGGGTGACCAGGTGTGGGTCCACAGCCCGAGTGCAAGTAGGGGCAGGTGCAACCACAGACCAAAGTGTGCATGAAACATGATTCCAAGTGAGTGTGTGCCAGGGATAAGGGCCACTGGAGAGAGCCGGGAGGAGGGATGGGCGCCCATGGCAGTAGTTCCCAGGTGCTTCCATTGGCAGTGAGGGGGATAAGGTCGTTGTTCAAGTCTATGAAGGCCATTTCAGATAAGCCTCCCAGCCCTCCAGCAAAGGAGACCTCATTCTCACTGATGACATTCCCAGGACACCCAGAGTTGACCCTTGGGCCCTTCTCTGTCTCCATTTGCCAATCAAGATGCCCTCTTGGCTGGGTGCAGTGGCTCACACCTGTAATCCCAGCACTTTGGGAGGCCAAGGCAGGCAGATCACAAGGTCAGGCATTCGAGACCAGCCTGGCCAACATGGTGATACCCCGTCTCTACTAAAAATACAAAAACATGGGCTGGGCGTGGTGGCATGCACCTGTAATCCCAGCTACTTATGAGGCTGAGGCAGGAGAATCACTTGAACCTGGGAGGCAGAGGTTGCAGTGGGCCGAGACCGCGCCACCATACTCCAGCCTGGGCAACAGGGTGAGCAAGACTCTTTCTCAAAAAAACAAAGATGCCCCTATCACTCTTTGAGCCCCTCGCCACGTGGCCACGCTGACTGGAGAGCTGGCAGGCAGGGCTGGATGACACTTGTGGGCACAGCCTTCTCTACGTTTGGCAGGGCCAGACACGAAAGGCACTCGCCTGGAGCCACACAGCCTGGGGGCAGCACAGGGGCTGTGGGCAGGGCCGTGCCCACATGAGGCTCTGCCCTGCAGACACCATTTCACTGGATTCCTCTGTAGCCCCACCATGCAGACCCTGTCCTGCTGAGGACATGAGGTTAACAGGGTCTGCATGGTGGGGCTACAGAGGAATCCAGTGAAATGGTGTCTGCCTGATGCCTGGCACCGAGCCAGCTGCCTACCCACAGCAGCCCTCGCCAAAGATACAACCCGCTGTCCAGAGTTATTATGTCCACTGGTTCTCAAATTTGGCTGCGCACTGGGGTCAGCTCGGGAAAAATATGATGGCTGGAACCCATTCATGGAGATTCTGGGTTTTGTTTTAGTTTTTGTTTTTGAGATGGAGTCTTGCTCTGTTGCCCAGTCTGGAGTGCAGGGTGCAATCTCAGCTCATTGCAACGTCTACCTCCTGGGTTCAAGCAGTTCTCTGTCTCCCGAGTAGTCGGGATTACAGACACATGCCACCACGCCCAGATAATTTTTATATTTTTAGTAGAGACGGGGTTTCGCCATCTTGGACGGAATGGTCTTGAACTCCTGACCTCATAACCCACCCGCCTCGGCCTCCCAAAGTGCTAGGATTACAGGCGTGAACCACCACACCTGGCCGATTCTGGGTTTTTGTTTTTCTTTGTTTTGTTTTGTTTTTTGTTTTTTGAAACAGTCTCACTCTGTCGTCCAGGCTGGAGTGCGGTGCGCAATCACCGAGCACTGCAGCCTTCACCTCCTGGGCTCAAGTGATCCTGCTGCCTCAGCCTCCCAAGTAGCTGGGACCAAATACCCAAGCCCAGCTTGTTTTTTTTTTAAAAAAAAAATTGTAGCAATGGGGTCTTGCTATATTGCGCAGGCTGGTCTTGATCTCTTGGGCTCAAGTGGTCCTCCTGCCTGACCTCCCAAAGTGCTGGAATTATGGGTATGAGCCACTGTGCCTGGCCAGGACTCTGATTTAATGAGAATGGGTGTGGTCTGGACATTGGGATTTTTTTTCAAAGCTCTCCTGTGGTTCTGATGCTCAGGGAACCAGTTCGAATTCCATATTTGTGCTCTGAAGACCAGCACTTCAGGTATTCCCCAAGCTCCTGCACCTCCTACCCACTTCAACATTCTGAGTGAGGCACAAGAACCTTACCTTTACTTATGTCTCTTTCTCTCTCCACTTTTAAAGTATCATTACATTATCTGCGGAAATGAAGAAAGAGGCTTATCAGCACCTCTCTCTCCAGAGTCTTCTTCCTTCTGCACAGCTGAGGGTAACAAGTCAATGTATGGCTTCATAAACTAATTCACACTAGAGTGTTGATGGTTGATACGTTTGCTCTCTAGGCCACATTTTTACGGACCTGGCAGCTGCGAAGCCCTGAAGGCAGACTGTGGGTGATGCAGGCATCCTGGCAGGAGACGGGGAAGATGGTTTTTCTGAGGCTACATCTTAGCACCCACCCTCCCCCACCCCTCCTCTGCTCCTCATAAAGAGGTCGCCTTGCTTCCTTCCTGCACCCCGACCCTGCTTTAGATAGCATTGCCAAATAGATATAAACACAGCGCCCAGAGTAAATTTGAATTTCAGATGAGCGATGCATTTCTTTAGTGGGAATGTAGCCTGTGCAGTATTTGGAACACATGTATACTAAAAAGTGACTTGTTGCTGATCTGAAATTCAAGCGGAATCGGGTGTCCTGTGTTTCCTCTGGCAAGCCTAGCTCTGGGCCCACACCACTGACCTGGAGTTAACAATAAGAGAGGAAGAGGGCAAAAGTCTTTCTGTTGAACAAGCCTCTCCGTGGGTGAGAATCCAAAATGGAATCCAGAAGATCCCATGGGCAGGGAGGCCTCGAGTGAATCCCACTCTTTCTTCGGGCCTGTTTCTCCATCTGTAAAGTGAGAGCCGTTTCATCGCCTCCGGGCCTGTTCACTCCTGGAGATTCTGGCAAAGCGCCCAGGAGCTGGGCAAGGCCTCTCATCCAAGAAGGCTGGAACCCAAGACCCTGGCATTAGGACTCTCGTGGTTGCAAGTGACAGAAAACACGACTCAGGCTGGGCACGGTGGCTCACGCCTGTAATCCCAGCACTTTGGGAGGCTGAGGTGGGCAGATCACGAGATCAAGAGATCGAGACCTTCCTGGCCAACATGGCAAAATCCCGTCTCTACTAAAAATACAAAAATTAGCCAGGCATGGTGGCGCGAGCCTGTAGTTCCAGCTACTCAGGGGGCTGAGGCAGGAGAATCACTTGAACCCGGGAGGAGGAGGTTGCAGTGAGCTGATATCGTGCCACTGCCCTCCAGCCTGGCAACAGGCAAGACTCTGTCTCAAAAAGAAAAAAGAAAAAGAAAAAAAGAAAAGAAAATACAACTCAAATTGACTTGAGGGGGAAAAAAGGGAACTTACCGGCTCACCTTACTGAAAAGGCCAGCTGGTGCCAGGCTTTAAGTGTGCGGGATCTGCTGGCACGGCACCAGGCGTCATCTGTCTGTCTGTCAGCTTTCAGGTATCTTTTCCCGTTGTGGTGACAAGTTGGCCTCAGCAGCCGCGGCGGAGATGACGGCCAATTCTCTTCTCTCACCAACAACTCCGGCAAGAGCCCCGGATTGGGTCTCAGGGATCTTTCTTGGGTCCTTTGTTCATCCCAGCTGGGCACAGGAGGCTCCGACCAACTGGGCTGTGTCCCCTCCTGCAACCCAGGGAAGAGCCGGCGCCCATGGGATGCAAGGACTAAGCGGGGAGAGACACTTCCCCGGAGGAAAACCCAGGGCACAGGTATTCCCCAAGCTCCTACAATTCAGCATCCACTGGGCAAGCTTCCCTCTTAGGATTGGGAAAGGCCAGCCAGAAATGTTCTCTAAGACCAAAGAGGAGAGGCAGTGGGTGGGGACAGAGCCACCCCAGATGCAGGAATTGTCCATTCAGTTACGGAGGGCAGGGGACAGCACCCTTCCTGCTTAGTCTCGCACTCCCTCCCCCACTGTCAAGGTGATCAAAAAGGAATTCTCTTGGGGGAGTGGGGAGAGAAGGTGTACCTTTTGCTACCAGAGGCAAAGAAAGAGGCAGAAAGAGAGAGAGAGACAGATGGGCAGACACTGGGTGTGTTGATACCGCCATGCCCCCCATGATGATGACCTGTTCCTGGTGGTCACATATACAACAGTGGGCCCATGAGATTCCAATTCCACATTTTGACTATGCCTTTTCTATGTTTTTAGCTCATGTTTAGATACACAAATGCCCTATGTTTTTAGATATATTTAGATGTATTAGGTACAAAAATCTAAACATATGTAAACATATCTAAAACACTACATTTTTAGGTATGTTTAGATACAAAAATCACCCTTGATGGAGAACCACTGGTCTGAACAGATAGGATTTTTTTTTGTTGCCCAGCAAGAAATACAGAGGGACCCAATGGCCCAGCGATGCCCGGGCTGTGCCCTCAGTGTCTCTGTCGTGCTGTGGCCTGGTCCCCGCAGGGCTGCGGTGGCTTCAGCTGAGCACTCTGTACTCAGGGAGAGGGAATCATTTCACCTGGGCCTGTACTCGCTTTGCCTGCAGTATTTGGCGTGGTACCGCGCCGTGCAGGTGTGTAGCCTGGGAGCAATCAGCTGGACTGGACAGCCCAGGTGTGTAGCAGACACCACCACCCAGGGCTGTGCGAGGCCACTGTATAATGTTCACACAACGGCCAAGTCACCCAGTGATGCACGTCTCAGGATGCATCGCCATCGTTCAGCTTTGCTTGGTTGTGCACGTACGTGGCTGGCTGCGTAACATACCATGTCTGAGGCCACCAGCACTTCAACATTGTGAGTGAGGTGCAAGGACATTTCCTTTACTAAGGTCTCTTTCCCTGTCCGCTTCTAAATGATCACTAAGTCTTTCCTCTACAAACATTGAGCACCACGTCAGATGCCATGATTTTTGGTGTCAGCCATCGAAGATGACGGTTTAAAGGCATGAGAAGGACAGTCTTATATTTTTACTGCTGCTCCCTCCTTTTTTTTGAGACAGAGTCTTGCTCTGTTGCCCAGGCTGGAGTGCAATGGCGTGATCTTGGCTCACCCCAACCTCTGCCTCCTGGGTCAGGCGATTCTCCTGCCTCAGCCTCCCGAGTAGCTGGGCTTACAGGTGTGCACCACCACACCCGGCTAATTTTGTAATTTTAATAGAGATGGGGTTTCTCCATGTTGGTCAGGGTGTTCTCGAACTCCTGGCCTCAGATGATCCGCCCTCCTTGGCTTCCCAAAGTGCTGGGATTACAGGCATAAGCTGCCACGCCCAGCCTGATGTGTGAATTTTGATAGCTTCCTTCTCCCCTGCTCCATCCTCTCCCCGTCCCGCCTTCCCTTTCTCCCTGCTCCTTCCTTTCTTTCTTCCATCTTCTTCATTGCCACACTAACGTCAAGGCTGCCTGCTCGCTTTCCCTTGCTTTCATTTACAGCTTAAGGCAAAACATCACCAACTTTCATCCTTCGCTGTAAACCTCCCGGTTCAGGTTTCCCCTTCTGTGCCACTCTCCTCCCTGGCAGTCTCGTCCCTGAAGTTGAAAATAAAGAGATCAGGCTGGGCGCGGTGGCTCATGCCTGTAATTCCAGCACTTCGGGAGGCCAAGGAAAGTGGATCGCCTGAGGTCAGGAGTTTGAGAGCCGCCTGACTAACATGGTGAAAGCCCATCTTTATTAAATACAAAAAATTAGCCCTGCATGGTGGTGCACGCCTGTAGTCCCAGCTACTTGGGAGGCCGAGGCAGGAGAATTGCTTGAACCTAGGAGGTAGAGGTTGCAGTGAGCCGAGATCCTGCCATTGCACTGTAGCCTGGATGACAAGAGTGAAATTCCATCTCAGAAACAAACAAACAAAAACTTAACCTCCAGTGCACCTCAGAGTATGACTGTACTTCGAGACATGACCTTTGAAGAGATGATTAAGGTTAAATGAGGTCATATGAGTGAGAATGTTTAAAAAAAACTTTAAAAAGGCAGTTTTTAACTATTGAAATACATGGAAATGATCTGGAAACTGAATTATATTGTTAATTTGCTCGGTGGGATTATGATGGCTGTGTAAAAACCCATGTCTGTTAGACATGCATCGAAGTATTTACAGGTGAAATGACTCAGCAAAAATGAGGTCACTGTTGGAACAAGAACGGTTAAATATTGACCCTTGCTGAGGCTGGGTATTGGTAGACGGGGGTCTGATTATATTACCTCCACTTGGGAATGTTTGAAATGTCTGTAACAGAAACTAAAAAGGAAACCAAAACCAGATGTGGATTCTTCACGCTCTTTTTCTACCAAGCCACGTGGAAGAGGTTACAAAGACTGTGTCACAAACTAGTGAAGCTTCAAGGCCTGGATCCCTGCGTGACCATGTGGAGCAGAACCCCCAATGACCTGTACTGGACTTGGAGGAGAACAGTGGAGAAATAAACGTTTGTTATATTGAGTCTTGCCAGTTCCACTGTTGGTTTTTTATTGAAGGTATATTGTGGAGTAGAAGAAGTAAATTCAGGACACTGTCTATAGTGTAACATAATTTGTCATTTAAAAAAGGACGTACCACTTTGGGAAGCTGAGTTGGGAGGATCACTTGAGGACAGGAGTTTGAGACCAGCCTGAGCAATATAGTGAGATATCATCGCACTATGTAAACATCAGCCAGGTGTGGTGGCGCATGCCTGTAATTCTAGCTTCTTGGGCAGCGAAGTGGGAGGGTTCCTTGAGTCCAGAAGTTCAAGGCTGCAGTGAGCTATGATCATGCCGTTCATCTCCAGTCTAGGTGACAGGGTGAGGCCCTGTCTCAAAAAAAAAAAAAAAAAAAAGGCCTACACATATGTATGTTTATATATGAAGATAAACTTTCTGGAAGGAAGTATATAGAAAATGACAAAACGGTGGTGCTTCTGGGACAGGAAGGAATTAGAGGACTGGAGACAGGGTTGGAAGGAGAACTTTCACTATAAGCTTTTTCTCCAGTTTGAGTTTCTTTTTTCCAAAACCGTGTGCATGTGCGTGTGTGTGTGTGTGTGTGTGTGTGCATGTACATATGCATGTGTGTATATATATACATGTATGTTTGTATATACACATGTGGCTGAATTGTGTCCCCAAAGCTCGTATGTTAAAAACTTGACCTCTAGTGCACCTCACAGTATGACTGTAGTTGAAGATATGACCTTTGAAAGATAATTAAATGAAGTCATGTGAGTGAGGCTGTGAAAAAAAAACCTTAAAAAGGCAGTTTTTAACCACTGAAATAAATGAAAATGGTCTGGAAATTGAATTATATTGTTAATTTGCTAGGTGGGATCATGTATGATGGTTGTGTAAAAAACCTATTATTTGTTAGATATGCACTGAAGTATTTACAGGTGAAATGATTCAGCAAAAATGGTAGGGGTGGGGAATGAGGTCATTGCTGGAACAAGAACGGTGAAATATTGAACCTTGCCGAGGCTGGATATTAGCAGACGGGGGTTTGATTATATTACCTACACATGGGAATGTTTGAAATGTCTATAATAGAAACTAAAAAGGAAACCAAAACCAGATGTGGATTCTTCACGTTCTGTCTTTCTCTACCAAGCCACGTGGAAGAGGTTACAACGACTGTGTCACAAACTGGTGAAGCTTCAAGGCCTGGATCCCTGCGTGACCACGTGGAGCAGGACCCCCAATGACCTGTGCTGGACTTGGAGGAGAACAGTGGAGAAATAAACCTTTGTTATATTGAGTCTTGGAAATTTCATAGTTGGTTCGTTATCTAAAGTATATTGTGCAGTAGAGGTAAACTCAGGACAATGTCTATAGTATAATTGGACATTTAAAAGGACATGTACCACTTTGGGAGTCTGAGGTGGGAGGATCACTTGAGGCCAGGAGTTGAGACCAGCCTAGGCAATTTAGTGAGAGCCCATCTTGGCAAAAAACGTAAACATCAGCCAGGTGTGGTGGCGCATGCCTGTCCTAGCTTTCCGCCACAGACTGGAGCCTGTCGGCTTCCCAGCTTTGGAGGTTTAGGGACTCAGACTGATCCACCACTGGCTGCCTTGTTCCTCAACTTGCAGATGGCCTGTCGTGGGACTTGACCTTGTGATCATGTGAGTCACTTCTCCTGAATAAACTCCCTTTCATATGTGCATCCTATTGGTCCCACTCCTCTGGAGAACCCTGGCTAATACACATATTCATCTCTATACATTCTGTTAAGAATGAAAAATAAGCGAGAAAAAGGAACCTGCACGTCTCCCTTCTTTCCTAGAACGTTCTCTGCACAGGTGGGTTTTAACGCTCTATTTCTTGGAGGACCCCAGCGCACCCTCCTGCTGCTCCAGCTCTTCTGGGCTCCTTGCTGTGCCTCCAACCTGACCACTCATCTTTAGGGTCTTTCATTGCCTCTGCCTAGAAAGTTCTTTCCCCAAAAGCTGCCCAACTTCATCTAGTTATTCCCGTGTTTCTTCCCTGATCACACCACCTAAAACAGCCCCACCTTGGCAGCACCAGTTAAGCCACAGATGGGCAAGCTGTGAGCACACCTGTGGCTGCCACCCACACTCTGGAAATGTCCTTGGGTATAACTCACTGTGCACAAGGGCAAGGACTTTTCTAAGCTGCTGTATATATTTCCCTGGCTGCCATACAAATACCGCAGACTGGGAGGCTGAGAACAGGTACGGATGCTTCCACAGAAACCAAGGGTCAGCAGGCTCATGCTCCCTTGGAAAGCCCTGGGGGAGGCTCCTTCCTGCCTATTCCAGCTTCTGGTAGTCCCAGGCCTTTGTTGGCTGTGTCCACACCACCCAGTCTTTGCCTCTGCCATCAGGCGGTCCCCTCCGCTCTGTGTCTCCTCTTTTTATAAGGACGTTTGTCATTGCATTTAGGGTCCATTCGAGCAATCCAGGACTGTCTCATCTCAAGCTCCTTCCCTTAGTTACATTGATTGGCAAAGACCCTCTCTTCAAATAACGTCACATTCTCAGTTCCCAGGCTTAGGACTTGGACGTGTCTCTTTGGGAGACACCGTCTCACCATGGAAAGACATAAGCGATGCTAGACTGAAGAGTGTGCACCTCTAAAATCTCCCCAGAGTCTGCCAAATTTCACTTTCAATTTTCCCCCAAGAATTTTTTTTTTTTTTGAGATGGAGTCTTGCTCTGTCTCCCAGGCTGGAGTGCAATGGTGTGATCTCAGCTCACCGCAACTCCGCCTCCTGGGTTTAAGCGATTCTCCTGCCTCAGCCCCCTGAGTAGCTGGGATTACAGGTGTGTGCCACCCTGCCCGGCTAATTTTTGTATATTTTGTCGATCGGGGGGTTTCATCATGTTGGCCAGGCTGTTCTCGAACTCCTGACCTCGTGATCGGCCTGCCTTGGCCTCCCAAAGTGCTGGAATTACAGGCGTGAACCACCACGCCCAGCCATTCCCCAGGGAAATTTTAATGCTCACTTGGGCATGGAGCCTGAGTCATCAGCACCATGTATACTCTGCTTACTTTCAGGAAGACTGGGAATGATCATGGGGTCCTCGCCAGGCAGGGGCGGCTCAAGGCAGGCTGGGGTGAAGCGGGGGCCCTTCCTTCTCAGCGGTCCTGCCCTGTGGCTCCTGGGGCCCCAAGTGGAGTGACTGATGCGTAAGTGGCCAGTGGGGAGTCTAGACCTGGCTGAAGCCTGGTCACCAATCCCGACCCAGTTGGGGAGGCTGAGACTTGGTGCAGGGCGGCCCAGACCCAAGCAGGCTGATGAAAAGAAGCAGAACCAGAACAGGCAGGGCTCCACGACCTTGCTTCTCCCCTCAGAACTGGGTAACCGGTCACTGGGCCCACGTCTCCTTCTTCCCATGAGCCATGTGGAGCCTCAGAGCCTGGACCCCGGCAGTGGATCAGGGCCCCTCTGATCAGCCTCAGCCTAATGGTGTGGAGGAGGCAGGGGCTGGGCCAGTGGTGACTGAGATGGGAGGGGCAGCCTGATGTGGCCCAGCCTTGCCGCCTGCCTCTAGGAGCTGTCTCCCCTGAGCAGGTAGGTGTCTACTCTAGTCAGGCTGGTGACGTCCATCTCCAAAGCCAGCTATTAGGATCTTCAAGTGAGGATCTTAGAAAATTGTCCTGGCTGGGCGTGGCTCCCTATAATCCCAGCACTTTGGGAGGCAGAGGCGGGCGGATCACCCGAGGTCAGGAGTTCGAGACCAGCCGGGTCAACACGGTGAAACCCAGTCTCTACTAAAAATACAAAATTAGCCAGGTGTAATGGCATGCGCCTATAGTCCCGGCTGCTCGGGAGACGGAGGCAGGAGAATTGCTTGAACCCGGGAGGTTGAGGTTGCAGTGAGCCGAGATTGTGCCACTGCACTCCAGCCTGGGCAACAGATACAGACTGCTTCTCAAAAAAAAAAAAAAAAAAGTAAATAGTCAGATCCCCCGTAGGTCTGATTATCAGGATGACGTCTGGCTGGGGCAATGGAGGTTCAGAAGGGAGGTTCAGAGGCTGGCAGGCCGCTCCCCGGAGGAGCGGGGCCGTCCGCGGCGCAATGGCGGCCCCTGGTGGCGGTGCCTGGAATGGGCCCCGCTCAAGGCCGAGGGGCAGAGTGGGCAGGGCGAGGTCCGCAAGGTGCCCTGGGTGCCCCTTTACCGCGGGGCCGGGGACTCGGAGGCCACGAGGTTGCCCCGAGCGCACCCAGCAGCTGCGCGCTCCCTCTCGCCCCTCCCGCAGGCTGATTTGGGGGTTGACCAGCTGCCCTCCACCCTGCTCCCGCAACTTTTCAGACAAGCCCCACAGGAAGCAAAAGAACATTGGCTATACACAAGCGCCGACAAAGCCCCTGCTGTGTGCCTGGACCCCAGCAAAGGGCAAGGGAGGGGCAGGCGCCATCACCTCCACAACCTCTGTGGTTGTGTTAGGAATGTGTTATGTTCACAGTGTTTATCTCTCAATATATTTCTCCTATTTCCTACCTGCAGGTATTCCTCCTCATGTCGATTCTGAGAAGGGGGTACCAGTATCACTCCCATTTTACAGATGAGCAAACTGAGGTGCAGGAACATGAATTTCACTAACGCTGTGAAGAAACGTTCGGAGTTTGGCAGGGCTTAGTGGCTCACGCCTGTAACCCTAGCACTTTGGGAGGCCAAGGTGGGTGAATCACTGGAGCCCAGAAGTTCGAGATCAGCATGGGCAACATGGCAAAACCCCATCTCTACACAAAAGTATAAAAATTATCCGGGTGTGGTGGCATGCACCTGTAGTCCCAGATACTTGGGAGGCTGAGGTGGGAGGATCACTTGAGTCTGGGAGGCAGAGGTTGCAGTGAGCCGTGATCATGCCACCGCCCTCCCGCCTGGGTGACAGAGTGCGACTCTGTCAAAACAAAACTAAGACCAAAAAAACATGTGGAGTGGTGGAGACTGCATCTCAGAAGCCAAAAATCCCTGGCTTCCTGGACCAGCACAGCCCCGGACCAGAGGAGGACACGGAAAGGCGGGTAAGGAGAACTGCTCATCCTTTATCGCACCAGACTTCACGCAGGAGGCCCCACGCTGGGCAACGCGGGGGGCAGCGAGGTTTGGAAGGCCCACAGCCCTGCCCCTGGGATGCTGCTGTCCGGTTGGGGAGGGGAAAGGTCAGTGCAGAAGAAGGTGGAGACGGCAAGGCCGCTCCTCACAGCCCTCCTGGTGCAGGAGAAGGAGCCCAGCAAGAATTTCTGCTCCACCAAGGGAGGAAAGGCAGCTCCCCCCGGCTGCAGGACGAGGGGACCTGTGGAGGAGGAGGGGCTGAGCCTGGGGAGGCAGCGGGCAGAGGAGAGGAAAAACCAGGGAGGAGCCCGGAGGAAGGCCACAGCCCCTCGAGCCAGACGCTGGAGACCCAGGGTCAGGGCCTTCTAAGAATGAAGGGGTGTTGGTCAAATGGGGGGCCCTCTTAGAGCCTCCCTTGGGGTGCATGACTCCTACACGCTCCCACCTAGAGGGACAACGCCTCAGGCCGTGGCAGGGCTGGGTCTGGGGTAGCCACTGTGCGTCCTGGCCACCAGGGAAGCTCCCACACCCAAGCAGGTCCATTAGGGAAGGAGCAGAGGGGAGGCTCCGCTGGAAAGATGGACTCAAACCTGGGGCTCTCTGCCGCCTGCCCCATGGGGTCCAACTGGGATTGGAAGCCTGCCTGCATCGGCCTCCTTTTCCAAACGTGTTATTTATTTATGACAAACAGAGCGTGAGATGAAGCTTTCGTTCCTTGAAGTGAACTGTCATTTAACGACCCCTTTTCAGGATTTAAAACCACTTCTTTTTCTTTCAGATTATGGAAGCTGCACTTGCTTCATGCTACTTTTTTTTTTTTTTTTTTTTTGAGACAGGGTCTTGCTCTGTCACCCAGGCTGGAGGGCAGTGGTGCAATCTTGGCCGACTGCAGCCTTGACCTCCTGGGCACAAGTGATCCTCCCATGTCAGCCTCCTGAGTAGCTGGGACCACAGGTACACGCCACCATGCCCGGCTAAGTTTTGTATTTTTAGTAGAGACAGGGTTTCACCATGTTGCTCAGGCTGGTCTCGAACTCCTGACCTCAGGTGATCCACCTGCCTCCGTCTTCCAAAGTGCTGGGATTACAGGGATAAGCCACCGTGCCCAGCAGCTTCATGCTTTAAAAAAATAAACCCAAATCACAAAATACAGAAACATACAAAGGAAAATAATTAAGATGACACATAATTCATCACCCAAAGGTGACCACTGCAACCTCAGGGGTGCAATCCTTACAGATTATTCTATATGTAGATAAAAACCCGTTGCTGTGCTCAAGGGCTTTTTCTCTTTTCCTTTAACCAAAATAAGAATAAATGATATTTTGTTTTTAACTTGCTTTTTTCCGCTCTTTCTGTTAAAACGGGTGTGCTTCCAGGTTACACAGTAGATACAGATCGTCAGGTTTAACGTGGTTTGAAAACCGCCTGGTATTTTGCTGCTAGAAAAAAGTCCACCGAAATATTAATGGACACTGTATCTAGATTTGGAATTATTGTTACTTTTGAAAGGTTCTCTCTTTTTTATTTCTGAGAAGGAGTTTCACTCTTGTTGCCTGGGTTGTAGCGCAATGGCCAATCGCGGCTCACTGCAACCTCAGCCTCTCAGGTTCAAGCACATCTCCTGCCTCAGCCTCCCAAGTTGCTGGGATTACAGTGATGCACCACCAGGCCCAGCTAATTTTGTGTTTTTAGTAGAGACACGGTTGCACCACGTTTGTCAGGCTGGTTTTGAGCTCCTGTGCTCAGGTGATCCACCCGCCTTGGCCTCCCACAGTGCTGGGATTGCAGGCGTGAGCCGCCCGGTCCTTCTTTGTCTTTAAGGTTAGGACAGTCTAGCTTCAAAACAAAATATTTTAGGAACAAAACCAAGGAACAAATTGATTACTAGGGACGGGAAATCTCTCCAAAGCTTTATTTCAGATTAATAGTTGGAATCAATAGTGTTGATTTTTAGAGCACATGTAATCGTTCAATGCTTTGCAAATTTTTTTAAAGTTAGAAATTAAAACCTATGCTCTTCTGTATAAGCCTCCTTGTCCACTGGCTTTATTCTGTAAGTGGTGATTGATTTTTCTCACAACGTTAGCTGTTTTCCTGTGCCAAAAGATATGTCTATTTTATTTTATTTCAGCTAATGAAATTTATGCTGAAATTGTGTTTTAAATATGTACCGATAAGAGAACAGTTCCCTTATTTGTGGGGTGTGTGTAATCTAATGTTAGGCAGGCAGGGGGAAGGATATTGCATTGTTTATATATTAAAATTATGTTTATATGAAAATTCAAGGGAAAAATAACAAATTAGCAACAATCCGTCGGTGGACAGAGTGAATTTTTTTGTTTGTCTCTGCCTTTTCCCTACATGCCGAGTGTTTTGTGATTTCATTTGCTTATTAAAAAAATCCTAAAAATTAAAGACACCTTAAGAACAAAATAAAAGTCTATTTAACTTCATCCACCAAAACATTTTGTTTTTATCATGCTTATAAAATAACTTACATTCATTGTGTAAACAAACAGGAGATGTTCCAAAAAATATAAATGAGGACATTAAAAAAAATCACTGTAGCCGGGCGCGGTGGCTCAAGCCTGTAATCCCAGCACTGTCGGAGGCCGAGGCGGGTGGATCACGAGGTCAAGAGATCGAGACCGTCCTGGTCAACATGGTGAAACCCCGTCTCTACTAAAAATACAAAAAAAATTAGCTGGGCATGGTGGTGCGTGCCTGTAATCCCAGCGACTCAGGAGGCTGAGGCAGGAGAATTGCCTGAACCCAGGAGGCGGAGGTTGCGGTGAGCCGAGACCGCGCCATTGCACTCCAGCCTGGGTAACAAGAGCGAAACTCCCTCTCAAAAAAAAAAAAAAAAAT